GACCTCTTCTGCACACAGCTTGTTTGTTCAGAGACAGAGCCAGAACAATCCCCACTTACAACCTGTCAGTCAGGCTGAGCTGGAGTGTTGACTGCTTTCCATTGTCTCTGGGGTCTGTCAGTCTCATGAACCCTTCCCCTTCTGAAGCTGGTAAACCAAAAAACTCCCACAGAGTTTTAGTAAGGGGTAACAGTCCCCTTACACATATTAATTTCATTTGGTGACCCCTTCTTATATTGTGGGAATAAGTAAATAACTTTTCCTTATTCACTTTCTCCACACCTGTCATGATTTTATAGACCTCTCTCCTATCCCCCATAGTCTCCTTTTCATCCTAGAAAAAAAGTCCCCGTTTTTTAAAATCTCTCTTCATATGGCACCTGTTACAAACTCCTCATCATTTGTGTTGCCTTTTTCTGAACCATTTCAAATTCCAAGAGATCTTTTTCAAGACGAGGCAACCACATTATATGCAATATTCAAGATCTGGGTGAACCATGGATTTAAACAGAGCCAATAAAATATTCTTTGTCTTATTCTCTATATCTTACTTCACATGGCAAAGGCCTATTTTTGGGGAGAAAAAGATGTGAGTTACATTCCCACAACCACAACAGAACACCAGGTGGCCAAACTACACAGCACTCTCAAAACCAAGCACTCCTAAGTGGGAAAAGACTGTTGTTTTTTGACAAAATGAGGCACAGAAAAGTTAAGAACAACATTTTTAAAGGCTCTAATTTTTAGAGGCCCTGGCCTGATACTGAATTGTCTTGAGAGCTGGTGCTGCATGATGGAGCAGAGCAGATTTTTATGCTTATAAAATCTGTGAATGACACTTGGCAGGGAACGGAATGGTTGCAAGTGTATAAAGGACAGAAACAAAATTTTAAATGATCTTGATTAACTGATTTCAGTTCAGTTGACTGATCAGTTCTCCAAGAAGAAATTCAAAAGACAAGTTCAAAATACCACACTTAGGAAGAAAAACTCACATGCCCAAATACAATATGGAGAAAAATTGGATAGGTGGTGGTACTGCAGAAGAAGATCTGGAGGAGTTACAGCAGATCACAAACTGTATTTAAGCCACCCATGTTGTGCAGTTGTGGAAAATATTCAGGGTTAGATTAATAGGAGTCAGGTATCAGAGGGGTAGACATATATCCACAAAAACAAGTAGGAATTCTGTGGCACCTTAAAGACTAACAGATTTCTTTGGCCATAGCCATGCATCTGACAAAATGGGGTTTTGCCCATGAAAGCTTATGACCAAATAAATCTGTTAGGACCTCTCTTCACTATAAGGAAGATCGCTGGTGCTGCAATCAATCTTCCGGAGTTTGATTTAGCATACCTAGTTAAGACACACTAAATCAAACTCAGAAGGTGCCTCCGCCAGCATCCAGTACCCCTCCCTTTGCGAGTAGTAAGGGAAGCCAACAGGGGTATTTGCTCCCATCGGCCTCCCACTGTAGGGACGCCACCAAGCTCATCTTACGGAAAGATGACTCCAGCTCCTTGTTCTATGTAACTAGAGTTGTATACCGTAAGCCAACCTGTTGGGTGTAGCGTAGACCTAGCCTTAGTCTTTAAGGTGCTACTGGACTCCTTGCTATATTAACAGGAGCACTATATATTAGGCATAGGAGGTAACTGTCCTGCTTTGCTGGGCAGTGCTGAGGCCTCAGTCTTCCCATTTTAAGAAGTGGACAAATCAGAGGAAGTCCAAAGGAAAGGTACAAAAATGAGAAAAGGTTTAGAAAAACCTCATCTGTGAAGAAAAGCTTTAAAAAACTAGACATAAGTAATCTTGACTAAGAAGAGAAGAGTGAAGAGTGATTTAATAAGTCTTCAAGTATGTCATGGACTTTTATGAAGAGGATGGAAATCAATTGCTTTCTTTGTCCACTAAAGATAGAATAAGAAGTAAACAGCTTACTCTGTAGAAAGGGATAATTCGGTTAGATTTTTTTCCCTAATATTTAACTCTAAGGATAGTTAAGTACTGAAAGAAATTACCAAGGGCAGTTGTGGAATCACCATCATTGGAGGTTTTTAGAACAGGTTACACAAGCACATAGCAGTGATGGTCTAGGTCTGGGTCAGTCCAGCACAAAGGCCTAGATGACCTCTCAAGGGGCCTTCCAGCTCTACATTTCCACGATTCTATGCACTATGGGGAAGCTGCCTTGACAGCCAGAGAGTGAGGAAAGGGCTTCTGCCTACTTGAACAAAACCTGAATCTGATGTTTAAATAAATGCCTGTGAAAACTGCTAGGCCAGAGGTTCTGAACCTTTTCACAGAGCACCTTGTGGATACCGCGCCTTCCACTCAATATTTTGTGTACAAGGTTCATCGCTGTTTGCAGTCTCCTTATACTCCTGGTGCATCCTGAGCAAGGTATGGGGCGTGGCTCCACACTGTCAGAAGGGGCGGGGCTTCAGGCAGAAGTGGCAGGGCTGGGGCGTGTTGTGCCTCCCCCTCTACCCTGACAGCTCTCAGCACCTCCTGGAGCATACTACATGGAGCTCTGGTGGCAATTTAAAGGGCCCAGGACTCTGTCTGCTACTGTATAAGCAGCAGTGCCTCCCTTTTGACTTGCTAGGCCCTGGTGCGGTTACCCTATTTGCCTCACCCCCACCTCTTGGGGGGCTTGGGGCAACTACAGCAATTTCTGACAAAGGAAAGCATTGTGGGAATTCTTGATTTCGCTGCTGGGGAAAAAAGAAAGACGTGATCATCATGAGACCAGCCATTTCACCTGAGCAAGCTGGGGCTATAAAAATTCTTAATTGATCCACAGAACAGGCACAACACGGACTGTGGCGATACAAACTTCCCCACATTTTCCACCAACAGGCCACACAGCTGACTTAGGTAAAAAGCTCCTAGAAATGGGACATAAGCTTAGGGTTTAGGGTACTATTAGGATGTAGCTCACATCAGAAAAACCACAACCTAGGGTGAGCTTATGGTTTGAAAAGCATGCATTGTAAAAGGACCTAATGCACTGAACACTGGTGTGTTCTAGCCTGTATCCTAGAATGCAAAACAAAACCTTGCAATGTAAGGAGCTGATCCTATATATGCTAGCTCCTTCTCACACAAATAATCCTATCTGAAGATAGTGGTTCTGCACATGGGACCACTCCTGTGAATAGAGGTTTTTAGGATCAGGCCCTAAATCAGGGGTGTCCAAACTTTTTTCAAAGAGGGCCAGATTTGAAGAAGTGAACATGCGTGAGGGCCGTCCCCGCACTCTCAGCCCCAAGGCGGAGGGCCCGCAGGGTCGGAGGCGGGCGGAGAGCGCAGGGCACGCCGGCCTCACGCCGGCCCGGGGCCAGGGCGAACCCGCAGCCGAGCAGGGGAGCGGGGCTGCGGACGTGCCCTACAGGGCAGGCTCTAGGACCGCAGAGGCCATGGGCGGCAGCGGGGCGGCCGGGAGGGGGGGGC